CCGCATCGGAGTCGAATTTTTTTCATTGTAAGAAGCTGTCCAAACTCCGGAAAAAATGGTAATCTGATGGAGCAAGACCCGGGGAGAGTTGCCATGGTAACGCCAAACTTTATGAACACGAATTTTATTTACGGAATTTCTTATAATTCGTTAAGAAATAGAATCTAATAATTCAAATGAAGTTATCAGTGATTCCGAGTTAGTGTCTTGTGAGATGCCTGTAACATCATATTTAGAAGGTGGTAGGTCCTTAGAAACTAAGCAAAAGTGTGTAATAAAAAGGAAAACAAGGGAAGATGAAGACAATGAAGACGAGGAATGTACAACCGTCAGTAAAAGAAAATCTAAACGGATTGAGAGGGTTCCTCAAGAAAGTGAGGAGCAACACAACAATGAGAGAAATATTGCGGAAAATTTAAAATACTACTATGAAGTGTGTGTAACATCATTGGAAAATTTACCAAAACAAATGGCTCTTCCAAAATTACTTCGAACACAAAATATTAGGAATATTACTAGAATTAAGTATAAGAGTCCATATAAAGTGCTTATTCAGTTCAAGCAAAAAGAAGATGCTTTACTTTTGATGAGTTGTAAGAAGTTAACGAAGATGGGTGTTAGATGTCAGCTTACTATTGAGCTATCTTTATCCTAAAGGCGTTGATCTTGATTTAACTGAAGAAGAAATCATAAAAAATATTAGTCTTTATTAAAACGCCTAAACTCAGATGACAAATGGATTGACAGCGAATCGGTAAGAGTTTGTTTTAAGAGTAATACATTGCCTTTATATGTTTATGCATATAGTTGTCGTCTAAAAGTTGAGCCCTATGTATTTCCGGTAACTCAATGCTCTGGTTGTTGGAAGTTTGGCCACATATTCAATTTCTGTGGAACAAAAGTAAAGTCATGTCCCAAATGCGGTTAAAAACATGAAAATTGTAATACAAAGGATTTTAAATGCTTAAACTGTAAAGGCGATTATTTTGTTAGATAAAAAATGCCTATTCTACACGAAAGAAAAAGCAATCAGACAAATTATGAGAGAACAACAAATTACACACAGAAAGGCATTTCAAATTTATGGTGATAAAAATCGAAAAGAAAATCCCAATCATCATGTGACTTTAATAAATGGAACTGGAACACACTTGTATAGTAACGTAGTAAAGAGGTCCCTGGGTTCGTCAAATGCCTATGAAATTGTACAACCGCCGGAAGAAATTTGTAACAGCACTTCATCAAGAAATGAGTTGTATTTTAAACATCAAAAACAAAAGAAACAAAATACTAATTTATCCCAGACCACAAAAAAGAATAAAAGCCACCATGAAGAAGCAATAATTGAAAAAACGCGAGGACAATATCGTGAAGAAGAAATACAAAATGGTAATAGGAGTGAAGAGGTGTTACATAAATTAGAACTAAAAGAAATACTGTTACGGCTAAAACATATTATCTTGTCGAAAAACACATTTAAAGAAAAATGTATATTAGTGTTTAAAGTTATTGTTGATGAATTCAAAAAAAAATATTCTACTAACAGGAGAGATGTTAGAGAGTGTTATTAACCTATTTAATGGATAAGACAAATCAACATGTTAAGATTAAAATATTACAATGGAATGCACAAAGTCTTAAGCCTAAGTTAACTACATTTGCAGACTTATTGTGTCACGAGAAAATACACGTGGCAATTATCTCTGAAACTTGGTTAGTGGCAAATTCAGATGTATATATTAAAGATTATAGTATATATATAGAAAAGACAGAAATGATTCTTATGGAGGTGTAGCGTTAGTAGTACATAAATCGATTATATGGGTGTATATTTTAGCGGTGGTAGAGCCACGCAGCAGTTTTTGCTGTTGCACGTATGGGCCGGCTCGAGCTGGGTTGGTACCACGACCTCACAGAATACCGGCGTGAAGTAGAAGCTCTGCTTCTGCGTTTCGTCTGGTGAGTGCAGGTGGCCCAATCCCCCGCCCCCCCCCCCATCAACATGGTAGCGGAATTACACCAAAGACTAACCCAGGACCAGCACCCCTGGAGAATCCCTCGCTGAGAATCCACGACCATGTTATTCCACTCCTGAGCGTGGGTGCTCAGGCTGCCCCGCGTATTCTGGGGGTGAGTGGGGGGCATAATACCGCTAAAAAACATAACTGCTCGGGGCAAACTGAGCAACTGGGCAAACCAAGGCGACCCCTGCCACGCTATCCGTGAATTTCTGCGTCAGGGGACTTCACTCGAACCTAAACGTCGTCGAGACGGCGAAGGCGGCCTTGCTCTTTCTGACCGAGACGCAGGTGTCCTCGCCGGCTGATACTCCGTATCTTTCCTACCGAGGTACAAATTGGAGCACTCCTTTGTGCCTCGGGCTGGAGTTTGCGTGTATGTCAGAGAGGACATCTGTTCTCGACGCCTCGGCAGTCTTGAAGGTTCAGACCTGTCCAACCTTTGGCTACGCGTAGACAGCGATGACCATCCGCGCGTTTACGGGTGCCTCTATAGGTCCCATAGCGGTAATGCCGAAACAGACCGACTCATCGACCACGTCCAAATGGCTACAGATTCCTTGCTACAACAGGTCTCATCCGCAGAGATCGTAATACTTGGTGATTTTAACGCCCACCACGCCGAATGGCTCGGTTCACGTATAACCGTTCATGCGGGGAGATCTGTTTATGACTTTACCTTAGCATATGTTCTGACACAACTGGTTACTTCGCCTATGCGGATTTCAGATGTGGAGGATCATACACCTTCCCTGTTGGACCTTCTGCTGACCTCTCATCGGGACGGATATCAGGTTTCCTTCGATGCCCCTCTCGGCTCTTCGGACCATTGTCTGATCCTGAGTGTGGTGCCACACACGCTCCCCTCGCGGTTGCGTTCTGCAGGTTGCCGCCGTGTTTGACATTACAGGTCGGCTGATTGGGACGGAATGCGGTCTTTCTTTGCATTCTACCCATGGGGGCGGGTTTGCTTCTCGCCGGATGATCCCAGCGCTGTTACTGACTCTGTCACTGATGTGATGCTACAGGGAATGGAACTATTTATTCCATCATCTGTGGTACCCATTGGAGGCAGATCTCAGCCTTGTTGTTCATTTTGCGGTCATACCGTGTTTTCATCTTCTCAGACGTTTGCTGGCCCGTCTGTCTGACGTGCTCTTAAATGTCATTCATTTTGTTCTGCAAGTCATTTGCATAATCGGTTATACTGCGTGGGGCGGTATCAGGTGGTATTCCCGTGATCAGGTCTGCAGGCAGCCGCAATTCTCTCCCAAAGTTTCCGAAAGCTGGTGTCACTGATGTACTTTCGTGAACAGCGCTTCGATATGACAACAAAAATGGTTGTATGTGCCTGTCCCAGTCTCGTTGCCGTTTTTCCACAACTTTTGCTAGGTACCTCTCCAATGTCTGATTAAATCTTTCTACCATTCCATCAGATTGTGGGTGGTAAGAAGTTGTTCGTGTTTTCTGAGTACCCATAACTCGGCAAGTTTCCTGGAATATTTGAGACACAAAATTCCTTCCTTACCACTTAGTGAAGTAATCTATCACTACCATGAAATACTTGTTACCACTTTCAGTTTCTGGAAACGGCCTCGCAACGTCAATGGCTATCCTCTCTCATGGTGCACCAACATTGTACAATTTCAATGCGCCTCTACTACGAATTTGAGGTCCCTTTACAGCCGCACAACTTGTACATTTGCGGCACCAGTGCTCGACATCGTCACGACAGTGGACCCAGTAAAACCGTTCTCGGATCTTCAGGAGAGTTCGTTTAACTCCCAGGTGGCCTCCTGAACAACCACTATGGTACAGTTGTAGAACATCCGGCACTTTAGCCTTAGGGACAACCATTTGCAAATGACACCTGTCTCCCCGACCATTTTCCCATTTACGGCACAGGACTCCATCCTGAATCAGCAAGCTGTCCCATTGGGCCCAATAGCTTTTCGTGGTCGAACTCATTGCTGAGACGTCGCTCCACTTGGGCTTAGGAGCACTGGCCTTCATCCATTCCAGAATCGGCTTAATGTCCGAATCTTCCTGCTGTGCATGTTGTAGGCTGTCCTTCCATTCATTGCTGAGCTGGTCTGTCCTGAATATCCTCGCAGATACCACTTCTATACCCTCTTGCCTAGTACAATGCTTGCAATCTTCAGGGCAAGGTCTTCTTGATAATGCATCTGCATTGCCATGAGATTTCCCGCTGCGATGTTCGATCACAAAGTCGTATTCCTGTAGTAGTTCAATACATCTCGCAACTTGTCCTTCCGGATTTTTGAACTGCAATAGCCATTTCAGTGCAGCATGGTCAGTTCGTAAGTAGAATTTCCGCCCCAGGAGATATTTGCTAAAATGCTGCAAGGATTTTACCACAAAGCAAAAAGCACAAGACGGGTCTTGTGACACAATAGTTCCTTTCCGGCTTCGACAATGACTTGCTGAAGTACGCTATCACAATCTCTTGATCACCATTCCGTTGAGACAACACACCGCCAAGTCCTATATCACTTGCGTCTGTGTCAACTATGAATTCCTTGCCCGCATCAGGGTACCCCAAAATAGGCGTTTTGCACAGATGGTTCTTGAGCTCCTGGAATGCAATATCGCAACTTTCATCCCAGCAGAAATGTCGCTTCTCCTCGGTTAGCTTGTGCAGAGGTTTGGCTATATCTGCAAAGTTCTTCACAAATCGCCGATAATAAGAGCACAAACCAAAAATACTCTAACCTGCGTCTTGTCTTTTGGAACTGGCCACTCCTTGACAGCGGCAATTTTCTCTTGATCCGTGCGGATACCTTCTTCCGACACTACATACCCCAAAAAACTAACTTGCCGTTTGAATAGTGAGCACTTCTTCGGACTCAACTTGAGGTTGGCACTCTGGATCTTTGTGAGCACACGTTCCAGGTTTTGAAGGTGTTCCTCAAACGTACGACCTACGATGATCATGTCATCCAAATAGACTAGACAGGCATCTCAGATTAGCCCGGTAAGTACAAGCTCCATCAACCTTTCAAACGTTGCTGGAGCATTGCACAATCCAAACGGCATGACTTTAAATTGCCACAGACCCTTTCCTGTGGAGAATGCAGTTTTCTCCTTGTCCTTAGGGTCAATTTCAACCTGCCAGTAGCCACTTTTCAGATCCAGCGTACTAAACCACTTTACGCCTGTAAGCATGTCCAGCGTGTCATCAATTCTTGGCAAGGGAATGCTGTCCTTCCTTGTAACGTCGTTCAGGTGGCGGTAGTCAACACAAAACCGCATGCTGCCGTCCTTCTTCTTTACCAGCACCACAGGTGAACACCATGGACTAGATGAAGGTTCAATAACACCAACCTTCACCATTCCCTCAATCATGGTTTCCACTTCCTTTTCACGTGCTACAGGCAATCTTCTTGGCCGCTGACGAATAGGCAATTCTTGTCCTGTGTTTATTTTGTGTTGAACTAAGCCAGTGTTTCCTATGTCAGCTTCGTTTGACGAGAAAACATTGGCGTCCTTGAGTAACAACTTCTTCGCCTTGACCATTTCATTCGGGGAAAGAACGCTGCGACAGTCTTCTAAAAGTGTGGTCACTCTCGTTTGTCCGTCCTTGCTGGGGGTCCCGGTCGATAGATATTCGCACCGACGCAACCAATCCACTTCCTCACTAGTACTAACCAATGTGCCTTTTTCTATAATCTGTTCCTGATCACAAAGGTTCAACACACGTACTCCTGAGATGTCGGTGGTTCTGACCAAGGTTCGAGCCACTTTCCATGGAAGGTCATTGTCTACCCTTTCCACGAGTACACAACGATGAGCTTGCCCAGGACTCCGAGGAAGACTAACCGGCACAATCATTTCCGATCTCGGCGGAAGAACAACCTTCTTAAGGCTGTACACATTCCCTGGTAACGCCCCTTCCACGAAAAGTTCCTCTTGTCCACATTTCAAAACACCTTGCTTAACGTCGATCTCACAACAATTCTTCCTCATAAAGTCTAGGCCCAGGATGCAGTCGTCCATTATATCAGCCACGATGACATTATGCAGGTAGATCATGTTGCCTAGCTTCAACTCCATCTCCTTCTCTCCACGGACGGGTATGCGCTGACCGGTGTCTGTCACCAAATTAATGCATTCGCGGTTGTATGCGGAGTCCCCAACAAATTGATTTATAAGTTGGGAACTGACAACCGTGCGAGAGGCTCCAGTGTCTATGGTCAGTTTACACGGCTTTCCGTTGACCTCGCCGTTGATGATCAGGCTGTTTCCATCACGGGTTTGTGAGATCGAAATCCTTGGGGCTCTTTTAACATCAGCCAGCATCCGCCAGTTTCCCTGCTGCTACTGGGCGGTGCTGTCAGCCACACTACCCTCTCGATATCGATCACCTTCCCTTTCTACAGTTCGTTTAGGGCAGCTGGATCGATGATGGCCCCTTTCCCCACAGCCGTAGTACCTAGGCCTGTAGCCCTTATTGCGGTCCTGAACTGTAGCTGCTGCAACCTCCCTGACGCGGTGGGAACGATGATCCTGCCGCACGGCTTCCACCTCCAGTGCATGAGCCAAGGCGTCCTTAAGCGTCTCGTGGTGCCCGAGCCTCACAGCAGCTCTGACTTCAAGGTCGCGGATGCCGTCGATGAATGTCTGCACCAGGTTCCCTACAATGAGCGCAGGTACAGACTGGTACGCTTTTCGAACCAGCTTCTCCACCTCAAGGGCCCACTGCTGCAGGTTTTCGTTACTGTGTTGCACGCGATCTTTGAGCTGCGCACGAAAGACGTGTTCCAGGTGAACATCGCCATATCTCGCCTCCAATGCCTCAAGGAGCTGTTCGTAAGTCACTTCCTTACCGAGAGCTTCCAGAACAGTTAATGCCTGGTCGCGTAGGCCTAGGGTGAGAGCAGTCATGGCCTGACTTTTATTCCAGCCGTTCGCTTTCATGACAGCCTCGAACTGGATTTTGTAGGCCGACCAGGAAGAACTCCCGTCGAACGGCGGCACTTTGAATCCACGTAGCGAAGGTGTTGTAGCTACTACGGGAGCTGTAATTCAATCCCCAAGTTTGAGGTCGTCCAGCGTTTTCTTCACATCAGCCATCACGTTGTCAACCCGATTGTTCACTTGATCGATTCGGGTTTCAGCTTCCGACAGGCGGTTGTCATGTTGAGCAACCCTATCCTTCACCTCCTTTATCTCTTTCCCGAAGGTAGCGTGAAGGTCCTTCCTGTGGAGCATCTATTCTTCCATACCGCGCTGCAGCTGCTCTTCCAACCGACGGGTCTGTTCCTCCTGTCAGCGGGCCTGTTCCTCATGTTGGCGGGCCTGTTCCTCCTGTCGGCTAGCCTGATCCTGCAGTATCATCATCAGAGCACCAAAGTCAGGTGCTACAGATGCAGGAGCTGCTGGCGGGCCAGCCTCCGTGGTTAGCAGCTGGCCCTCCGACGTTTGCGGCGTTGCATTACCAAATCGTCTCTGGTCCGTCTCCTGTTGGCGTTGACTTCGGGTACGGATACCCTCTGTGTCGTCTTTAGGTAAAATCGGCATATTTGATCCCGCTTCTGACACCAATTGTTACGAGCTTGGGGTTCGAGACAATTAAAAACTGCCGATTGAATCACCAAAATTGACACTTTAATTACACAACACTAATTACAATCTAAAATCACACTAATAATAAAACACAGTTCGCCGTTATTTCGTTTCGAAGTATTCTCTTGTATCGCCAATTCAATACTCCCCGGTCGTGGTCTATACCGGCCTTATATAGGGCCTCAGATAGTTTTCAGAACCTTCTACTGTAGCAACATCTAGAATGTTCGAGTACATATCGGTCCCGAAATTTCTGGAAGGATATCGACTCTCCTAGTTCTGCTACTCGACACTAGAGGGCGCTAGTGTAACTAGTGTTGTCATGTACAAGGCATTAATAGTGGCGCGCAACACTTTCTTTTACTCGACACTAGAGGGCGCTAGTGTAACTAGTGTTGCCATGTACAAGACATTAATAGTGGCGCGCAACAGTACCTTTAACCGACGAGCGTGTATGCGTAGGTATATGGATGTGGAGGAAGCGGGAGAGGTGTGTCAGGATCGTGCCAAATGGAAGTCCATAATCTCGGCCTACCCCTCTGGGTGACAGGCGTGAGTGTTTATATATTATGTTATGTTTAGGACGAAAACAATAATAGCAGGTGACTTTAATGGACATCACTCTGATTGGTCGACGCGAACTGATACGCGAAGCATACAAATCAGGGATGCAGCTATGGAAAACCGTTTTATGTCGCTTAATAATGGCACGGCCACCAGGCTAAAAATGGTCAATGGTATTATACAAACATCCTCACCTGATGTATCTTTTGTTTCTATTGATCTAGGGATCTATTTTTAACAGTGGTAGAGCCACGCGGCAGCTTTTGCTGTCGCACGGATGGGCCGGCTCGAACCGGGGTGGTACCACGACCTCACAGAATACCAGCGTGAAGTAGAGGTTTACCTCTGCGTTTCGCTTGGTGAGTGCAGGTGGCCGGAGGCCCTTTTTACTGGAAATGAGGCATTCCATCTTAGTCCTCACGGGTGGCAACGCATCTGCATTTTGATTCGCAAACGAGGATAGATGTAGATGTATATGGGCCGCAGCAACCACTTACCATCAGGTGGACTGTGTGCTCGTTTGTCACCCTTATCCTATAAAAAAAAAAAGGGATCGAATTTGATTGATCAGTGAGTAACGAATCTTTAGGTAGTGATCATTTAGTACTTAAAATGTCTGTAGATATTCCTAATAACTTTTACAAGGTAAAGAAACGGAACATTAAAAAGCCAACTGGACTGATTACAAGAAAGAACTTTCCGAAACCTTTTCTAATAGATTAGAAGATTAATTTCAGACGACGCAAGAAATGTATAATTTTTTTCTTAGTCAAATTAACAAATCAGCTGATAATAATATCGCTTTTAATAATATTTCTTATAAGCCTCAATCCCAATTTAAGCCAAAAAAATATTGGTCTCCGGAATTATCTAAAATCATAGCACAACTCAGGTTAGCTTTAGTAATTTTTCTTCGAAACCCCATTCCAGAAATCTAAGTAAACCGGAGGAGAAATTTCGGGAATCTTCTCCTCCGGTTTACTTAGATTTTAATAATAAAAATAATTATTAATATATTAATAAAAAGGCAATATCTTTATATTGGCAGCAATTTTGTGATAGCATAAACTGTGCACTGTTTCAGTTACTGACGTGTGGCGCCGCTTAAAGTGGGTCAAAGAGTATAAACAAAGAACATGCACCTTCCAATAGAAAAACAAAAACAATTATTACATTCCCTAACTCCGGACTACGTTGTAAATGAAAAGCCTTTGTTTTCGTCCAAAAATCTTTTATTGGAATCTAATTTTTCTATTCATAAGCTAGATATTTGTTTGAAAAAGATAGACACATCACCAGGTGAAGATGGGGTAACTTATTCCATGATTTATCATTTACCAGATAACGCTAAATAATTTTTGCTTAAATTATATATATAACTAGAGTGACCGACATAGCCCAACGGATTAGTAAGCTGAAGTGGCAATGGGCCGGCCATATAGCTCGAAGAACCGACAACCGATGGGGAAGAAAGGTTCTCGAGTGGCAGCCTCGTACCGGCAGGCGAAGTGTAGGGCGTCCCCCCACTAGATGGAGTGACGACCTGGTAAGATATGCAGGAAGTCGATGGATGCAGGTGGCTCAGGACCGTGCTTTGTGGCATTCTTTGGGGGAGGCCTATGTTCAGCAGTGGACTTGTGAAGGGCTGTAATGATGATGATGATGATGATGATATATATAATAAAATTTTTGATCATGGATGTGTTCCTAGGCAATGGCGTAATATTCAAATTCTTCCCATACCTAAAGTTAGTAACAATAATGATTTGGATATAAAGCTCAGACCTATTTCATTATTATCGTGTTTGTGTAAAATATTTCATGTAATGTTAGCCAGACGTTTGGAATGGTATTGCGAAAGAGAAAAAATTCTCTCTCCTTTTACGGTAGGATTTAGAAGATCTCACTCTTGCCTGGACGCATTATCTCGCATGGTAACATATACATTGAAATTGGATTCTCGAATAATATCCCCACAGTGGTCTGTTTTCTTGACATTCATAATGCTTACAACAATGTGTCGATTGATGCAGAAATCAAAATATTGGACAGTTTTAGTATTGGTACAAAAATGTGTCCATATTTGTGGTCGTTTCTCAGTGAAAGGTATATAAAAATTAAATCAACAGATAACTGTAACACTTTACTTATGAGAAAAAGCTGTATGGGCTTAGCTCAAGGTGATCCCCTCTCTCCCCTTCTTTTTAATCTTATAA